GTGGAAAGAAGAAAAGGTGGTGGGATTAATTTTTATTTTGGTTTTTGGGTTTAGCTATTATAATATTTATTTTTTAAATTATAGGCGTCAATTTGTTTTTCTAGTTTACATGTGTCACTATGCGGTTGGTTTATTTAACGGTAAACAGTGTGTGAGTTTTATGCAGGTTATCTTGTGGACTCAAATGTTTACAAGGAACAGTTCTAACTATTAGAAGTGTTTATCTATCACTTGGAAAGTTAAAGTGTTTAACTGATCGCTGGTGACAACTTAAAGGGGCTATCTATGTATTGTCAATGGGGAAAAAAAGAATCAATATGATTAGATAAAGCATCCAAATCTTAGTCAATCTTTTAAAATAAAGTGATGTTTTCAGTCCTTGCATTGACACTCCTAGGGTAGTTAATGATATGCCTTGGTGTAGTGGGGAACGTTTGCTAAAGAAAAATAAGAAAGAAACTGATCTCATGAAATGCTAGGAAGTCTTGTTTTGCATCCACTGCTGCGTGTTTGATGTTGGATGAAAGATTCACCTTATAAGCTGCAATATTTGGTTCTTTTTCCAGTTACTCAGAGAAAAAGAAATGTTACATTTTTCTATAGACCTACTAGGTTTTTTCCCTCTAAAATATGACATTAGTTTCTAATTTTGATCAATGCAGGATGGACGGGTGTCACAACTGGAGCATGTTTTTATTAGAGGCAGTAAAGTCAGGTATACAGATTCCTTTTGCATGATTTTATGCTATTTCCTGGTAAGAGCATATACTGAACTTGAATTTCTACCAGGTTCATGATAATCCCTGATATGCTTAAAAATGCCCCCATGTTCAAGCGTCTAGAAGCTAGAATTAAGGTAATTCGCTGTTGCATTCGTCTTTGGTTCGGTTTATCCTTGTTTTCTTTTAAGTGATTTGCTTACGTTTGATTTCACTTTTGAAGGGCAAAGGTACATCACTTGGTGTTGGACGGGGACGTGCTATTGCAATGCGAGCTAAAGTGAGTGTTACTTCTATCTTTTCCATCTACTTGCCTTTTTTGTTTGATGCTAACTACTAAGCATAACTTTTACCACATACTATCTCATGTATAATTTAGGCATATGCAGTTACTCTGATTGACTTCGCAAAATGGTGGGGCCAATACCAAGTTTGTTCAAAGAAAAGGAAGGAGATTTGAAAAAAAAATTG